AGCCTTAATGAGAACTACCGTTGACGTATCTCGACTATTACATCCTGCGATGTTTATCGAAATAATAACGAAACCTACTTGTCCCCTGTTGCGGTACCTACGCTACGAAAGGTCAATCCGCGGCAGGCATTCTAACGATAAAACCGTAACTTTTCCATCCACGTTTACGCTGCTGCCGTTAAAGCTCCCTGAAGCGAAAAAAAACCGATCTGCGATTATATCACCGCAATAAAATTGAATATTATACACTCCGACGGTAATAAAGACATCGCGAGACGATTAATTAGAAAAAATCATTAAATAAATATCTGACAAATTGAACGGACGCTAACAGCCGATACCTAACGACGAGTCGGCTCGTTCTTCCCTCGCTAATTGCGATCCCAGTAATGACGACATCCACGCCACACTTTTTAAATCACGTAACCCTATACTTTCTAAATCACTTTGTATAATATCTAATTGATAATTACGCCTCCGTACTCCTCCGAGAAATGGAAAGTACGCGAAGCTGCGATTGTTAGTTTCGTGTTTTGAATCCCGCTGCGGTTCCAGCGCATTAAGGGAACGCATTAAGGGAATTAAGGAGTCCCCGGGAAATTTCTATTAATATATCCCGACGTGCACTTTCACTGTGAATTCACCTCGGCCAAAGATGTCGTACGGGGTGCCGAGTAATCCCCGTTGAACCGTGGACGTCGCACGCGTTCACCGAGCTGAAAAAACCGTAGTACCCGGTAGACGGTGCGCGAACCAGCGGAGGAGACGGGTATTATAGCCAGACATCCTAGAAGAGCGCCATGAACATCTTCCCATGTACGTAATTATCACTGTGGTATGTGAAAACTGGAGAAACGCTTCCGGTTGGTTTATACCAACCGGACGAGCGACGGCTCGCGGTATAAAGCGAGCGAGCGAGCCTATTTATTTTTCGAACGCTTCCTGCGGTGAACTGCGACGGCTCCGGTCGATCGTCCGCTGAATTTCGTCTTTTTTTCTTAACGTTTACCTCTGCTGCGCTCTTTAATCTGCCTATGCGCTTCGAACATTATCAGAAAGAATTCGATCTTATGGACTAATCACAAGTTCTTCGCGATATTCCCGATAAACGCGCGGTTCGCCGATTTCTCCCAGTTTCAGACTACTTCGATGAAGCCTTCTATTTCGAAGCGTTTCCTTGTAACTGACAGATTGATTGGGACTTGATGTAGCTCTGGATCAGGTGATTAAATAAGAAAAATTAGTCTCAGCTTCGAGTTATCGTGGATGAAACGAAGACGCGATGATTTCGAAGAAAGGAGAGACAGATGAGGCGATAAAAAGCCGAGAAAGTGAGTGGGTCAAACGAACCCGAAGAATGCAGCAGGGTTAATCCGTCCGGGCAACGAGGCTAGTCGGGTAAGCGTTACTTCGGCCACGACTTCGCTTTCTTCGTGCCCGTTCCGCGGAGAGTCTTCCTCGTTGAATCGGCGAGCGATCGTAGCCGCGCAAAACTACTTCATCACGTAACCGTGCAATTACCTTGGCTATCCCGTGGATCGAAGCCGAAGAAACGGCGTGGAGAGAATTTAGAAAATGTCAACGAAAGTGTTTAGCCCCCGACCGAGCCCGACGGCAGGCGAGTTAGAATAATTAGGCCCCTGTTTGCTTTGCAATTGACCAACTTAACGCGGGGACGTGACACGTCGATCGACTGTTATCCGCATTCTACGATCATCTTTCGACTAGACACATCGCTCCGTCGAAAAACGAAAGAGAACGACTCGACAAAGGAAGTTACAAATGTAGAATAAGATCGTATCGTTCGGTGCACGTTTTTTTTTTCAGAAAAAGTATGTCGAAAGTATGTACGGCTGAACAAAAAACGTAGAATCAAAGATTCACGATGCCAGCGGTTCGGCGGTAGCCGCGCTCCTTTCGCTTCTTTCTAATCAGCTTGGCACCGTTTTAATCTCCCCGCTTTCCTTTCCGGCTCAAAACGCTTATTTGGCACCGCGTTGCGTCCATTAAAATCCTCTCCTCGTCTTTCTTTTCTTCGCCGCGTCGCTCCACTTTTACCCCGATCCCAGTAATCCGACGCGGGATCGGCGATTCCCCGTCCTCGTCTTTTACGTAAACCGGTTGCGCAATCGCGATTATCACCGGACTAATTAATAATTAATTACCGCGCAGGACCGTCGTCTTCCAGCGAGTTTCATAGAGAAGTGTTCTGCGTATTGGAAGAAATGATTTCACCGGATGATCCGTTAGATTAGGGGAGACGAATGCTAATTGACGGTGTTCCCGTGGTCGTCTCGAAGGGCGGAGCCGTAGAAATCAGCCTCGAACGCGGCGAAAGAGCTCGCCAGGCGGATCGCAATTATCCACGATAGTTTTGCCCAGTTGCTACTTATCGGATCCACTTTCTTCGTGATGCGGCGACCTTTGCAGAGGTCGCCCGAGTTTCACCGGCACGCTCTTCTTGTCCGCCGGGTTCACCGTTACCCGCGGCTCGTTCACCTCTCGAGATCGATCCGCGGGACGCTTCCGTCTTCCTGCGCTGCTGCGATGCACGCTGCATCCTGAGAACCCACGCTCCCGACCTTACCTACTCCGTTCCGTGCGATGCATCGGGAATCGCTCGGTTCACGGAAACACGAGACCCTCTGGTTAATCAATTCCAGCGAGATCCTCGGGGTAATTGGGGACGTCTAGGACGAGGTTTCTAATTGGACATGGATCGTGAGTCCTGGAGCACTGTTTGCTTCGCGAGTGATATCCTTCGTATAAATGAAACTGTTTAATGAAGCCAAGAAGACCCGTGTACGCGTAACTAGAAAATAATACGTCTTAATTATTGAGAACGCATTAAGTAGATTTCGTTATCGAGCGAAGAAAGGAATTCTTCGAAGAGATACTTCCCACCTATCATTTCCAAGCCTCTTTTCCTGCAATCTTCCCGGTGTTTTCCAGTTACAAGGAAATGTCGATAAAAAACCGGCATTAATGTTAATGGAAGCGGCACCGTTATTCAACGCTAATTCATACGAAGCGAGTCTGCGGCGTTTATCGTTCTCGAACGAATCGTGTATGATTTACCGCCTCCAGATTATTCCTTCTCACGGTTACCCGTTGCGGAATCCCGCGCCGCCTCCTCGTCGCTCTCTCAGGGGGAAAGACTAATGAATCGAATCGTCAATAATTATCAGCGACGCCATTCGCGATCATTGACACTTTCCAAAGCAGTGTCCCCCCGTTACGTAACGTCTTTCACAGCGTTCGCCGCATAAGGCGAGGAGATCGGACAAGCTTTTCGGCCCGCAGGGATTGAGCTTCGTGTAACCTTCTCGGAAGCCGAAGGATTTATTCATCGCGAATGAATTACGGTCCCCGGGGACACGGGGGATCGATCCGGAGAGTATAATTCAGAGGCGACAACGTTTTAAAGGACTTCCTCGATTGTCGGCGACGTTGCCAGCGAACCGTAATGAAAAGGCCTGATAATTATGGACGATCATGTAGCTGAATTGTCCGCGTGATCGATCACCATCACCTAAGCTGGCAGATTGCCCTCCGATAAGCATATAGTTCCATGGAAGAAGCGACGATGACCCGGGTCGCTCTCACGCGTTTGTCTCAGTTGTTCACTTCCGCTAGTGAAAGGTGCATGCACACCTCACCTCCAGCGGTAAAATCGCGCTTACGTGCACCTACGTGCATCCCCGTCCGCGCGCATCAGCCGAAGCACGCCTCCTCCTGTCAGTAACCGGCGATGCTCGCCTGGAAAGGCAGGCTTAGAGATCGACGCATCACCCTGATTGAAATTCTAACGGGTGTCCCCCGCGAGAAACCGGCGGATTTCTCCGGCGACCGAACGAACGGCTCGACGGGGAACCGATTCCGTTTCCCACGCTCGCGCTTTTTATTGTCTTCCTTCATCAACCGTTTAACCCTTAGCAGATTGTTTTGTAATCTATCAGCAACTGCAACTAATTTTTATAGTATTCCTGGCGAAATTAGAAATGCTGTAACGTTTCTTCGATCTTTTATCTTCCTTGTTAGTACAAGATTTGGATGTGTGGAAGATTGAATAATTTTAGGGTAGTTTCTTTAAGATTCAAATGTTTAATATTTTAACTGGTGCAATATTGGAGCCTACAACGCTTTTTACTGTCTTCCTTCATCAACCATTTAACCCTTAGCAGATTGTTTTGTAATCTATCAGCAACTGCAACTAATTTTTATAGTATTCCTGGCGAAATTAAAAATGCTGTAACATTTCTTTGATCTTTTATCTTCCTTGTTAGTACAAGAATTGGATGTGTGGAAGATCGAGTAATTTTAGGGTAGTTTCTTTAAGATTCACATGTTTAATATTTCAACTGGTGCAATATTGGAGCCTACAGAGTTCAAAGGGTTAACTTCGACTCGAATAAACAATCAACAGATCTTCATTGCAGTCGAAACAGTTGTCTTAATAAAGAAATAAAAGAGTCGAGGTTCTTCGTGAAGATTGCTTTAGTGTTATCAGCAACGTTGATGTTTCAGCTTCTGTAAAAACTGCTATTATTTGGGTGACATGGCAGTCAAAGTGTTAACAGCTACTTCGTACGCTTATGGAAGTTAAGGCTCGATAATTATGGAACACGGCTCGACACTGAAGCGATAATATCGATGCGTTTAATGATATTCCAGAGAAATTCGGGATTCCATGCAGCGTTTCGAATCTGAATGTTATCCTCGGAGATTATACTTTGTAAACGAGATTTAGGTTCTGCTTCGTCGTGTTTATAATAATGAGTACGTACTGTAATGGTAGCAATTGTTCGTTGTCTCCATTGTGCTGTCATGAGTCACGTGTCGCTTTATTCGTGTAACACGCTGCTTACCTGAGGTGTGCTTCTCATTCATTGCAGACACGAACATTGAACATAGAGTGTGATCCGTTGACAACAGGAAGGAAAATTTCTGTTTCCTTATGGGTATTATCAGTTTCGATGTGGAATAACACACTCTCCGAACATTATTCAATAAAACGTTTAATGTACCGAGAGCATCAGACAATTGTCGTTTAATATTCGGTATACAAAGTGCTTAATCACGCCGCTTTTCCATTTGCCAAGAATATCCGCGCGATAACGAGCATTTTCGCGCTTTCGCATGCGCATAAATCTGTACGATTTCTCTGCGACGGCTTTCCTGTTTGTCAGCTCGCCGCTATATTTGCAGCGCGCGCTTATCTATAAGGAAAATTCAGTCTGCAACAGATAACGGGAAGCGAAGATTTTTCGAGCGAGGGAGTCCGACGGACGCGTTGCGTAATCGTTAACGCGCCGACCGCCTCTCCTAAGCGTATCATGTAAAGGCGACGATCGATTTTAAGGAGAAAAAGAGAAACGCGGAAAGAGGAGGCGGGCCGATGATCATCGAGGAGAACGTTGTCTCGCGACGCCGTTTTTTATTTTTATCGCGGGGAAACACGTCGGAACGGGCCCGCTTCGCCTCCCTGCCTCGATAACGGTGTGTACTTGACATTTCGGCGAGCGGCATTTACGCAACAGCCGTTTTTTACGGCCGCCGCTCTGGATAGTAACGGGCGTCGACCGGCTCGAAGTCAAAATTTAATTACGACCACATTCCGCTCGCGATGCGCCGCTCGCCGGTACACGCGCAACGTGATTTTGTCCTCGCGATGTGACCGAATTCACCGAAAACCGCGAGGCGACGTGATACTTCGGCCGGGAATGAAATCAGGAAAGAGTTTGCGCAGCCCGATCACGCGTGCTTTTGTAATTCTAATAGCTGAATTTCTAAACCATTTTATTTCGACCGATTTTACTTGCCAAGTCGGCCGACGCGGGACCGGTCGCCACGATGGATCGCCCGTTGATGGCCTAAATCTGGTTGATTTGTATTCTTGTACTTGAGGAGTTACATTAGAAGAGATGAGAACGGGGTTACATTTGAGCATTTCTGTGTTGCATAAAGCTACACTGTATTCAGTTAGTACTATCGTCCTTTGGAACTGTATTTCTTTGGTAGTTTGAGCGAGTAAATTTAAGTAACGCATAGACGAAGTAAAATAGACAAGTAGCAACAACTAGGTTTGACTGCTAAAATTACTGTACAAGATATTAGCTAAAGATTTACCTTTCTTAACTATCTAGGAGCTAAACGCTAGGTATTGTTGGTAGATGACTCGATGTCTAGCAGAGCAGCACAGGGTCAAGAGAAGCCTCCCACTGCGTGGTTTGTAATTATGATTAATTACACGTAACCCTATTGAACAGCAGTAAGTTAGCGTCGTAAAGGAAATCGGACGCACATTCCACGATCCAGCCGTGGAATGGTCTCCCTTCGAAATGATCGAATGCAGTTCAACAGGTACTATGAGGCTCTTAGGAAACAGCCAGCAGCCTTTTACGCAATTAGTCAGACGGTTCCGGTAGAAGGAAGACCGAACGTGTTGTCGTCTGCATTCATGAATGGATATTGCAGCTGCTGCATATTCAGCGGCTTAACATGCAGTGACCCATAGCTGCGAACGGTAAATATTGTGCTGTCCGTGAAGTGTCTGCATGCAACAACGTGGATCTGGACTCTTTGATTGCTGTATACCAGCGCTCCGCGCGAGTGTTACAGTTGCGCACGCCGCGTTATATAATTCCAGTTGATACGCTTGACATCGAGTCTATGGATAGTGACACAACTTTATCCGATATCGTTGCGGTTTGAAAAAACACCTGACAAAGTAATATTTCACTCCGCGCGAGCAAATATCCGATAAGACGCTTATCGGAAACAGTTCCATGTAAATTAAGAGAGGCATTCCATTAAAATCCCCGGCAATTTTAGGGCTCCGTTGAATGTTTACATATTCTTACTGATTTCCTTACGAAACCTCAGCTCCACCGAGAATACAGAAACGATAAAGATCAATAAATTCTCACGTCTTTATTATTCTTATCGATCCAACAACGCAAACGCCTGATCCTTGATCTCGCAGGTATTCGGCAAGTCACCGATCGTCGCAAAAAGTGTCGTGTAACGCTGAGTAATCGTAGAATTTGAATAAACTTATTGCCAATTTGCGACCGTCGGACGATCACGTGTACGCCTAAATAAAAATCCGATCGATAAAGGCTTAAGACACGACAAACGTCGGTGCGTTTACATATTTCTATTAACCACACATGACACTGCTGTGACCCTCGAGCTCGCAGACGCACGATCAGCCATTCTTCGAGTCATTCTTCCTCGCGAGCGTCCATACATAAATCACACGTGGCATTAGCAAAGCCAATGGTCAGGCGTCGTTAATTACCAACGGTGATTCCCCGACGATCTATAAACGTGTAAAGTATTCAGCAGGAAAGACCATCACCTATGAGTTCCTCCATTCTCGTCGACGTCGGAAACGCTCGGGACCGATCGGCGATCTCGATCATCGCCGTCTGCACTTCGAGATGTTCGGCAGATTGTTCGGCAGTTTGTTCTTGCACTTCTTCACCCAGCCGTTCCAGGTTTTGAACCCCTCCGCTTCCATGATCATTTTCGCGCAAACGATATCGTCGCGAATGTCGTCGTCCGCGAAGTCCTCGCAGCGTTTGTTGCAGAGACCTCCCACGCGTCCCCTGGTGCACCATTTGCCGCTAGGGATCTGGAAGATGCCATAGCTGTAGCTGGAGGCTCTCTTCGGGCCGGTGACCAGCTGCGTGTTCATCCCGCTCTCGCTCTGCATCAAACAGATCCAGTTGCTGATGAAGGTCCTGGAGATTCCGGCCCGTTGCATTTCATGCATCGCCTCGCAGTCCGTCAGGATCCTAGCGTCCACATGGCCGCACCACGACAGTGCTGCCACGGCAGACACGACCAGCAGCAACTTCGTTGCGAGCCTCATTTCCTTCGCAATTGTTAGCTGTTGTCGCGCTACGTCTCCGCGTAAAACTGTCCAATGCAAACGCGACGGTCGCTCGCGATTAAATGTGCCGTCGAGTTGCGCGACGACGGAGAGGTAGCACGTCGACGCGATAACCTTGAGCTTGGCGGCAAATTATCATTTCATATGCGGCAACTAACACGACCACTTGGATTCTTTGGTCCTGCTTCCCCGACACGCCTGTTGTGTTTGCGAAGATGCGGTGATTATTTATTATCTTGCGGGATGCATAACAGCGGAGAGAAATGCCGGGCTGCTGAGACGAGGATAAAACCGCTGGACCAAAGAGACGTATGCAAATGAATTACACAATGATATATTGAAAAATGTATCCCGCGGGCGATAGAAATCGTTTCCAAAATATGTCTACGTGTCTCGAGGGAACTGAAATGTATAATTATTCGCCCGGAAGATGATAAGAGAGATACAAGGAATAAGTGAGACGTACGCTTGCGTCATGGAAAAAGAATTATATTTCTTTCGAGTATATGTAAACATAGGTATATAAAAATAGGATCTTCTCGTATATGAATATCATGGGTATTACCGGCGCATCAACACGCCGCGTTTCCCTTTAACCCTCGGGCACTCGGATTCTCCTGTTCCCCCGGTTTTACAGTAATTGCCTTAAAGTATGTTACAAATTCCGATACGGTTGCATAAAGAGAGCACGGACGGGACACGAAAGTGAAACGCGTTCCCAGAACCCGATTCATAAACCGAGTACATAATTGCATGCCATTATCGAAATATTCAACAGCGTCCTTGAGCCAACCGGATTACGTCGATATTTATTGGAAGCAGCCGCTGATATTCGGCAACGGCTTGTTCTTGCACTTCTTCAGCCAGCCGTCCCAAGCCTTGAACCCCTCGCGATCGTAGATCAATTTGGCGCACGCGATGTCGTCCTGGATATCGTCATCCGCGAAGTCCTCGCAGCGTTTGTTGCAGATGCCGCCGGCGCGTCCTCTGGTACACCATTTCGCGCTGTTGATTTGGAACACGCCGTAGCTGTAGCTGGACGCTGTTTTCGGTCCGGTGACCAGTCTAGTGTTCAGACCGCTCTCATTCTCCATCAGACAGATCCAGTTGCTGATCAGACTCCTGGAAATCCTCGCTCGCTGGAGCTGCCTCACCGCCTCGCACTCTTCCAGGATCTTCGCCTCTGTCCGGCCGCCTATGAAGAGGACTACCAACGATAACAGGACGAACCATGATCTCATTTTTATCCCGGATCGTTCCTGGATTCGTCTTTTCGTCGCCCGAACGATACACCCCGACAAATTGTCCGTTACCGGCCGACCACGGCGGCGAATCGCGATGAAATACGAGTGAACTAGCTTGGTCGACGTCCGAAGCGTTTATGGCGAACGATAAGCATCGACCTTGAGCTTGAGCGATAAATTGTGACTTCCTACGGGCCGCGTAGTTGCTAGGAAGCGTGAACATTCACGCCTTTCGCGTTTCTGCGGGACCGTTTCGATTAAAGCTCGGAAAGTTGGAATCATCGCGGATTCGAGAGAGCGAAAAATGAGAATAGGGAAGCTATGATTATTCTTCTCTTCACTGTTGATTGCGATTAATCTGCGTGGGGCTCGTAAATAGCTCAACTCGACGCTGGGGATTTTCCTAGAAGGAAAGTCGGCTCGTTCTTTTCCTGCGCGAAACGATGTTCAGGAAAGATTCACAAGATACCGGTTAATTGCGATCTTCGATTAATTGGTAGGTTTCGACACGATCCTTAAAGGGACCTTGAGCGGATCCTTATAAGTTGGACGCACTTTCTACTGCGGTAAACATCTGCTCCAGTGATCGAGTGGATTTACAGAGTGCTCATAATAGACTGAATAGTATTTTCGACGAAATTCTAAAGTTTATTCTAGTATCTTCTTTAGAATTCAGTCAAAAATATAATGAATTAAATACGCGCTGATGCACTTGACAGGATTTAGGAAGAATAGAGTGGGCGCGCGAAAGATCCCACCGAAAAGATGGCGGTCCGATGGAATCAGCGAAGATTTATAGGGTATGCCGATTGTTTTCAGATGCAGCAATTGACGCAACACGATTATTCAATAGGGAAATTTTATTTGGAATTCGATGAAATGTCGAAGCATCTCGGCGAGCGAGAATTGCATAAACGATTATGCAAGTTGACGGGTCTCAAGCGGCCGCTTCCCGCAACTGGTCGCGCGCACGGTAAAAATGGGTACGATAAAATAGGCAGTACGTAAAATTCACAAATAAACGTCTATACAAGGCACGATAATATCACATGTACTTACACAACTGATTCAGCAGAACGTTCTTAGGAGTATTGGCATCTCAGGAACTGTCTCGGATCAATCATTCACGGTTCACCTGTCCCACGAGAACTCTAGTAACTTTTGTACCATTTTTACGATCCGAGATGTCGCTAGAGAAACGGACACGTATATGTATATATATATATATGTATGTATATATCTACAATTTATAAAAAATAATAATGCACTTCCCATTGTCAGAAGAGAATGCATTCGGCGTTAGGAGTAGTCAGAAAGAGGTGCGCCGCATTCCTACGGTGAATAATGCCGGAATCTTTAAATCAACTTCGTTTAACGCCTCGGGCGCAAACGTTCACATTCACGCGTTACATTTCAACGGGACACACACTACGATAGTAATTAAATTAAATCTCGGGTTTGCGTTCTGTTTTACCGATACAGCAAGCTTCCATTACCAGCGTAATGGCGGACTTAAACGTAGAACGGCGATGGCTTTGGTGAATTCATGTCGGTATGAAATATCCGGTACTCGTAAACCAAAGAACTATCATTAATCGTATCGCGTATGTACAAAATGTTCTAGTTACGAAACGTTTCGGCGTTGCGTAATTGCAACTGTGATTCCTTCCTTAACAACCGAGGCGGTGCCCGTCGTTAACAGACTCTATCCTCAACCGGCAGAACTCGTTAAATTCGCTCTTTTAGCTTTGGCGAACCGCAGGATCTCCGGATTGCCGTAGATCATTCCGGCCAGCGTTTCCATTCCAGCGTACGTGTCGGCTTTGGTCCCCATGCACATGGACAGCTGCACGTCGGAGAGATCCTTGCTGCACTCCACGTCGTGGTACACGTGCACCAGACCCTTGTCAGCTGCCCTGAAGATCCTGAGATTGGACTTGACGACCTTCTCAAAGAAGTCCACGTCCTCCTTCCCCCATCCTTGAATAGACAAGTCGAAACCACCGACAGTTCTATAGTCCTGTTTGTACAACGAGACGATCCCGAAGCCGAACTGCCGCCAGTAACCGGAGATCTCATCGATGGCGAACGTCTCGTGCCTCTTCCCATCCGCGTGCACGACCTTCGGATCGAACTGACTGAATACCACCGGGAAATAGATCTGCCTGTTGAGAAGAGTGTTCGCTCGAATCCGATGGAGCGCGGACGCGGTGAACACGATGTCGACGTCGACGAAGAACATCAGATCGTCGTGATTCAGCTTCGACGCGCCTAGGTCGAGGGCCACCGCTCTGGAGAACGTGCCGGACGCCGGTAGTATGTCGATACTGGCGCTACGATACTTGTACTTGAACTGCTCGATCAGATCTATCGTTCTGTTGTAGGAGTCCTCGGTTTTGTGGCGATAGAGGACGACCAGCAGGGCCGTCCTCTCGTCGCTGGTGAGGCAGATCTCTTCGTAGTTTTGTAGGAACCTTTGGAAAACCTCGTGCCTGCCGGCCAGAGGTAGAACGAAATAAATAGTCTTGCTCCTGACCGGATCCTCCTCCTCGGAGTTGAAATTCAAGTTCAGAAAACCGCCGCGGAATATGTTTTGCAGCGATTTGTCGTTCTCCGGGTATCTTCGAGCCTCGTTCACCTCTTCCCCGTTCACTGTTTCCCGTATTTCCAGTCCTGGAAAAAGAGCGGAGAAAAATATATAGCTTCCAACGTACGTCGCGGTTCGCTCCCGCGTTTCGCCGGCGGTTCTTTTCGTTGGGAGATAGCTAGATGGAATTTAAGAGATAGAAGAACTTAAAAGGTACCGGTGAAGTGCTGATGCAGATAAACGTGTCTTCTAACTGGCAGCGTAACCTTTCTGCCCCTGTACTTCCGGTATACCAGCAGAAGATCGAGAATCGTGTCGGCGCCGTAGGAATCCACCCGTCTGTAACCGTACAGGGCTGACCTTTCCTCAACGACTCGGCCGCGCTGTCGCGAAAAGGCGTTTATGGAGGCCATTACTTCACGCGTGATATCCTCCAGGCCTTCTTTTATATCGCTGTGAATCCTCCGCCTCGGATTCGAGTCCGCTAAACTGTACTCTGACCTTGAGAGGAAATCCCAGGGAATTACATCGTCGCTGGTCGTCGGTTTGAACGATTGCAGCCCCGCTGGAACACCTGCGACAATTAAAGTTATTTTCAGTGTCCCATCCGTCTTCAATTTCACAGTGGAATCTTTTCAAACAGACGCCGGAGGTAATGCTTCGTTACGGCGCACGTTGTTTCTTTCTCGCCGAGAGAACGTCGTTCGCGATAATGACGGCCACGGTGGATAATTGAAGAATTTCATTGAATTCGTCGGATTTTCGAACGTATTCGCGTTCGGATCACCGAATGAATGGATCTTCGAATGAACGAAAGACGATTCTGCTCGAAGAATTCCAATCCTTGACCGCACCGCGACGGACGTAACACTGAGGATCACTTTATCCGCCGATCATGCTATTACCCGTCAAGAGCGATCACAGTCTAACTGCAGAAAATGGAAATGAGTCGAATCACAATCGAAATTCCGATCGTCACCGCTGATAGGCTGAAACGAATCGTCCCGTACCTCGTTTCGGTCGATCAATTCGCACGAGTTTAATCATTTTAAGTGGCTCTATTAATAACGCACATCCACGGAAACACGATCGTTCTTGAAACGGACGCGGCGACGTCTGCGCGATTCGAGATCGCTTCGTGAGAATGAGATCAAACGAGCCCTTGAAAGTTGGAATGATTCAACGCTAAGAATGCTGCTTCAAATGGCGAAGATCTAAAGTTACCATGAATATGCAGTGACTTATTAATCAATCAAATCGGCGACGTCTATGATGTATAGACAGCCGAATTACTTTTCATAGGTTTCCATCATTACAGGCAAATAATTTCATTTCCTTCTTCCTTGCGATTCTCAGGCAATTATAAGTAGATTACGTTTCTACATTTATAATACGTGACAGCCAAAGTTTAATCAAGTATAGTGTAGCCTCACTTCGCTTTCGATTCAATTATTTCCATGTTCGTTTGATTAAAACCGTGAATTCGCATAAAGTTCCTCAGACTAATTACAAGAACCGCGTCACCGTGCTGAGGGAATTCAGCGGTCGATTTCTCCAGAGCACGAAAGTGACATTTACCCAGTATTTCCGTGTCCCCCGGATACTCCGACGAGTGAGGATCAACCGGAAACAGCGGCACGCCGTCGGCAATCTCGAAACCCTTTAAATTCTCGACGCCGATATCCAGCTGCTTCGCCATCGCGTATATGTCCCTGTGCAGGTTCAGCCTCTCCTGTTGCAGATCTTGTATCCGAAGAGCCTGGAACGGAAATAGCACCTATTGCACCATCTGCAGAAATGATTGCAGGTAATGTTACGCGATTGCCTACCAACCCTCATGTAATTGTGCAGCCTGTACATGTGCGGCGGGCTTTTGACAGGATGCAAAGTAATAGCTCGGTGGACTTCTTTTTTCTTCAGGTTTCCGGTGAACGCCTGCGCGCCGCTGCTGTTGTGGTATAGAATGGACTGCATCTGCAACAGAGAAAGCATCCCACATGTACACTGTGCCGCCGCGAAACGCAATTAAGATCAAGGGAACATCCGTATCGAATGATTTTATGTTTCCCCGCTCGATTCTTTCCTTCTTTGAATCCGTGAAATTCGAACTCATCGTTTCGTGGATGATTTCCATAGATATTTTTAGCCGCGGAACTATTTCGAGTCGTCGAATTAATTCGTCCCGAACGAATATACACAGCCGAGCCTTGACAGATGCCAATTGACGCAAACAGAACCGGAGTTAAGGTTAAAGTATGAACTTCCTGCCGGCGTGTGCCGCCGATAATTATTATTATCAGAAACGCGTACACACGAGTCTTGGTGAAACATCGACCCCCGCGGAACGGGTGTTGATCGAGCCGTGAGACTGGGTGTGGTGGTCTCCAGTTACACTGAATTATTCCAGCCTTGCGTCTCCACTGATCCGCTCGCACCGAGACCATTTCCCTCGGCGGTTTCCTTCTGCAATTTACACGTCTTGTAATCGAAAACTCGCCGCGACCGTACGCGTTCCATATACCGAGGCGATCGTGTGAAAATTATCGAGGAGAGGCGAGCCGCCGGCTCGATAAGAGGAATCGCGGAATGAACGACGACGCGCGGTCGCGTCGATCGATTAAATCGAGCCATACCTTCGACGCGTGAAAACTCAGCAACAAACACTTCGCCAGCCGCAGTGCACGTCGTGCGAGCGGCTATTAAGTGTTTCGACCTTACGTCGAGTGTCAAGACGGGAATGAACGGACTGTCAGTAGGTTAGCAGGGTACGATTTGTTCGTATCTAACGAGTAACATCCTCATCCGTGCGTTTTACCTTTCAAACGAGCGGTTTCAATGGGACCCGAGCGATGCAAGACACTTCTACGCGAACTTTGACGATCGTCTGACATTTGAAAAGCGTTAAAATCATACTCGCGGTCCTCTCCGTTCAACGAATTAGATCGTCACGACAGCGACGATTCGATTCGTTCGGCTGCCAGCGCGCGTTGCTCTTGGCGGTTAATTACGGGACTTTTCTTTGGCTTTTTTTCCCCTTCCGGCCGGTTTTATTAGGATTTCCTCAATCCACAACAGTCGTTTTGATTGGATCGTGTTTCGGGGAATGCTGCCGGCGACACAGTGTGACATAATAACGCGCCGCGGAATACGTCCCGCAACATAGAGCCGCACACCGGCGTGCAGTTCGATTAAATTATTCCAAGGAGGTCTGCCGTAGATTCAAGCACTTCGTGCTGCAAATTGTTACTTAAGCGGCAACGACGGAACACCGAGTGTCAAGATGGAGGAGAATGACTCGATCTGGCCACTGGGTTAGCAGGGTACTATTCGCTTGTACTTAACGACTAACATCCTCATCTGTGCATTGTACCTTCCGAGTTAACCCAATGATAGCGTACCCTGTATATGATGCAGATGCGTAGCTTATGTATTTAAACCTGTAATACGTATCGTGCGGGCCGTGTTCCGTCGCTGCCAACATGCCACTGGGAATCAGCTTTCAACCCTCGTCATGGAAACCAAAATCGTCACGGTTCTCGGAGACTTGTTGTTCAAACACACCCTAACAATGAATCTATCTCTTTCAAGCCCTAAATTAACGTAAAAGTGTCCACACGATGAATATTAAACATTACACTAATTAAATGTCACGCGAAAATCAGATAAACATTCTGTCGAAGAGGCGTAGCTATCTGAGATCTCAAAAAATATATTGTCAAGGTTCTCGGCGGTTCAACGGCTCGTTAAAAACGTATTATCTGCTCTACATTAGCACGACATTATATAATACTCAAATATAAAGATCTAACTTTCATGAGTCATTCCTCAAACTTGTCTCACGATGACTCCTCGCAATGAATCCATCTTCCAAAGTTCAAGGATTGAATATCAACCGAAGAATATCCCGAAAGAATGGGAGAATCCAAGCCAAGCGGAAAACTCCGCGAAGGAAACGATTCGATCGCTGGTAACAGGGAAACTTCGAGTAACCGTTAGCCAAGGGCGCAGATTCGCCTGGCGCGTTCATCAGGTAACTCGCACGTTTAGAAGGGATTATTATCCGCGTGTACGTGTTACGTGTTCTGTGGGATAGCCCGGCGTTCTAATGAACCGTGAGGCTGTGTCGATCAACAAATTACACGTGCCGGCGTTGGTTCACGACAGGCTGCGTGCGAGGCGATCGGCCGAAGCACGGGGCGCGGGAGAGAAAGAGAAGAAAGGAGGACGAGCGAAAATAGATTTAATGTTATGTGAACGGCAGCCGAGACACGCGAAGCAGCTGGACAATGTACGGACGCGTTCGCGGATAGAGGATCGGCGAAACAAGCCTCGCGATAATGGAGAACAACGAACGGACTGATTAAAATACGTATTACCTCGTAGCTCCAGGTGCACGGGATGCCGGCGTACCTCTGCACGCACCTTCCCAGCTCGACGTCCTCGTGCGCGGTGTACAAATGTCTCAGGCAGTACTTGATGTGCGGCACGATCCTCCTCAAGGTCTCCCTCGAGAGGATTACACCCGGTCCACCCATGCAGAAGTTCTCGTCGTACTCCAAGGACAGCAGGCCGAATTCCTCGGAGTTCCCTCTGCCCGCCTGGCCGATGTACATGGCTCTTTTGGAGTTGACGGACCTGAGGAGTTTCTCCAAACGGTCGGTCCTCACGTAAACGTCGTCGTCGGCCCTGAGGAACCACTCGAAACGGTCGCCGTAATTGTTCCACATGTACTGGAGCATCATGAACGATTTCTTCTGCGGCGGATAGGTGTCGTCAACGCGCGGCAGAGCGACCAACGGCAGCTCGGGACAGTTCGTTGGCACAGTGGAACTTTCCGACGAGAAGAAAGCGATTTTACCTGGAAGCTCCTTACCCCAGGTCTCGTACACGGCTTTCGCCCTGGTGTCTAGGTACTTAGAAGCTGTCATGACACCCACGAAGACCAGGCTCGTCGACGAACTGTTTATCTGCTCGTCGTCGTTCAGCCTGGGAATGTTACTGGTCGACGACGGCCTCAGCAGGACACGTGCTCCCGGCATCGAGGAGTAATACGCGTTGGATCTTGGCTGTTGATTCGAGGACAGCAATCGGAAGCTTTGAATCAGGATACCTAGGAGAAGGCCCATTATCAGGCCCAGAACGGCGCTGGCCAATCCACGTCGTTTACGCATCACTGGGTGATACGTCACCTCTTCCATTGGTACTCTTCCGGGGTCCCTGGACCACCGGCTGGGTTCATCGTCATCTTTCTAGTGCTCGCAGCCGGCTTCTTTAATGATTTGAATTTGTTAATTAGCACGATTGCCCGGAATTCGACCGGTGATCCCATTGCTCCTATTCCCGCCGAGCACGATGTCTGCTCAGACCTGTCAATTGAACATTGTTTATTGCAACGCGAATGACGCCTCAGTTGGCTATGCTATAATACAATTGCGCATCGCTGATTAAGTCACTCGGTAATATAACTAACGGTCGCTTTAGTAATTCTCAAACTTGACACACGAGATGCCACTGGCCAGTAAAAATAATACAGCGGCAAACAGGAATGTTTGCCTTGGTAGTGTTTTATTTGGAAATGCGCTGTTTCGTCACTTTCGTTTTGATAGTCGAAACGGAGGGAAGGGTACACAGTTTTGACCGAGTTACCGTTCCAAACGTTCCGAAGCCGTTCCTCTCCAGCATCCAGTGGACCTTGGTCCACGGTTGTTTGTCGTTTAAAGAACAAACTTTGACTGTGTGTTTTTCAGCGTCCCCGGCACGACTACAAAGGACACCTTTGTTGAACCAGTCACTTACTTTTACGTTAGTGTCCGGAGGCCAAGCAAACGCGCGCAAATTGAACGATACTGCCAGCGTTTGTCAACGGCGGATTACATTTGCGTATGACGTAAGAAATAATTTAATCTCCGCGAACTCACGTCGAATCCTTACGGCGATCCCAGCGTCCGCGTCCCGGCGGTTCCCATCGGAAACGATCCGCGAGTTCTCGAACAGCCGACGAATCGAGCGTCCATGTTAATCTGAAAGCAACACAGAGGAAACTGCTTGATAACGGGCGGACCGCGCGATCGATGATTCGCGGGCAAAAATTGATACGATCAATATGTACAAGTGGCTCCTCGAAGGATCGAGGTCGCGCACGTGCTAAGAGACAAGTGGACACTCGTGTATCGGCGATTGGTATTCAGTGCCGATTTTCTTTTCCTTCCATTTTGAACTGCAGTTCGTTAAATATTTCTTTTGTAACAGTCCGTACACGTCGGTCCGTATTGTGTATCGTGCATTCGTATTCGTTCGACGTCCCGGTGCAGTCTGCGTATTGTCCATCAAGACAATTATGCCGATTCATCGATGGTCGATGGATGATCGAAACGGTCGGATCCGACGATAAAAGCGATTCAATTGGGACAATCCGAGCAGTGTGCGTACCCACGCGGTGATTTATTTCGTCGAGTCAATGGGTTTTTATTTTATGCTCCGTCATCCGAGCAGTGATAAGAAAACGGTAAAGGCGTAAAGCAGCTCTAGAAACTCCCAGGATCGGCGGGTACAATGGTGTGTCCATAAGCAAGAAACCGACGCCGTTAGGAAACGTTCTCGGTGAATTAACTGTGCGGTTCTGTTACCTTTATATGGAGGAATGTGTATTCCCCGTGCCGCTAACAAGGACAGTATTCGACTGACTGGAATTTCGCGCACAAACGGGAAACAGAGAACTTTCTACACTATTCTAGCGATATACAATCGTATTCGAGGGATGAGGACAGACTCAAAAGTCTAATTGAAGGAACTACGTTAAGTAGATTAGAAACTGTGATAGAAAGAAATGTTGTATGAGCTATGTCTGGATAGACGCCTTCGGAAATTTGAAAAATTTCAAGAAACACTCTAGAAAATACGAAAATATGCTTGGAATATTATTCAGTTCGCAATCTACGCGCATAGTCTCATCAAAATTCCGTGGGTGTCAATTCGTCGATGATCCTCGCAAGTGAATGAAGTCTACGCGTTACCTCTCGAGCGATATCTCAAATTCTGAACGGAAGGTTTTCTCCTCCGTTAACGGAAATAGCCGGAGTATTTCCTTCCCTTCACAGTTCTGGCCACGCGAGAAAAATCTCACAGGAATTTCAGTGAAACCGTGCGGCGATCCTATCTGTCTGACGATAATGCGACAAAAGAACCCTTCGGGAAGTCTACTAACTGGTCGGCCGAAATTTATTCCCTAAATCGGCGTAGACAAAGAATTGTCCCTTGGCGAAACCGGTTCCAGGCTCGCTGATATACATATCCGAATGCGGGCTGTTATTGAATTCAGGTCTGCGTGACGTGTTCTTCGTTGCAGAAAATCAGCGATAAAAAAGTGATATATTTTTTCAGAAGGAAATAAACGTTCCCGCGTAGGATAGGGACGAACTGCTTATCGCTTATGCCCGAAAACAAGATAAGAATCCGGTATTTAATCGTTACTTTCATTGACGTAATAATAATCCTATTCATATTTCTTTTTGTACAGCACCATATATAGAGATAAGACAGTGTAGATATTATATCTCTCGAAAAGTACTGAATTCTATAGTAAATAACGACGAACGTAACGACGATCGCGCACGAATCCAATTAACATTCTGCACGAAGTTCATCTGAAATTATTCAAAGAATGAGCCTGACGTACCGGTAAAAGTTAATAGCGATAATTAAGGGGTAAATGCTTTCTTAACTGTAAATTAATTATTCGCTGAATGCAAGGCCGCTGATGGTCATCGTTGATTGTCTCCAGCCGTTATCCCCGCGCACGCTTCCGTTCTCACAATCATTCCTGGATTACGCACGCAGCGAGCACGATGATTCCGTTAATATCCTCCGTTAATGCGATTTATCTTAGCCTGGTGTACAGACAGTTCCATTTCGGTTTGCGAATTCAATGTTGGCACACAGCGTGTAATCTTATCGGTACGGTGAAAAAGATTACTCGGAAATAGTAATTCATTACCGAGATAATCCGCGGCAGTCGGGTGAATTTCAGTTTCGTTCGGTCGTGTACAGGAATAAGGCGCAAAATCGATTATTTGAAGAAACCCGCGGCGCGATACCGTTACATGCGTTCCGTGAATCGATATCGATCGGCCGACGGGTGTTGACAATTGCGATTACACGCCCCGAATTCACGAAATCCCGGTGTTCGTCCCGTTAAAGGATACGATGCGTTGTGACGTGCCGTGTACGGAGGACGTGCGCACGAAAGACGGCAGGAGAACCGGTTTCAGCCGAAAGTCAGCTCCAGATCGCCTCTAGTTCCTGCCTGCGGTCTACACCGCCTAGTTCATTACGCCGAAGACTGGGACGGGTTGGCGTCGATGACTTATTCCGTACCGGGAATCTAGTCCGCCAACTCATCGGACTTTCGGGGATAAATTTTCCTCGAATCGAAACCGTCCGACGAACGGAACTCTCGGAACACCGTCGACAACGATAACACCGAAAACTGTGCGTACAACCGTTCAATCTGGAGCGACGTCTTTCACGTGAGACCGAAACGTTCGACCAAAAGTGAGCGTACTCCACTGGTGATCTTAAGGGAAGACAGAGTGTTCTATAGAAGACCATGATCATCGATATCACAAGGTTCCCACGAGTTGTCGATTAAGTCCCAAGTCAATTGGTTGAGTAATATCTGTTCCCGATCTCGTTTAACGACGAATCGGCCCGCGTTAGCGGCCGCAACGGTCGCATTCTCGAAAGACTGACCCGACCGGCAGACCCGGCCATTAGAAGCTGTTACGAGGAACGAGGTCCCCGCTAATTGTTCCCACAGACATCTAGGCAGGGTCTAAGGCAGGATCATAGCCGGTGTTACGGGGCAGATTCGCCGTGGTCGTGACCGGACTCGAAGACAGCCGCGTTGTTCAATCAACCGGTAGAAGTCTCGGCGAGTCATCGACTCTTTCAGCCACGGTTAATAATCGGAGGCTCAGGGTTCCACGGAACGATCCTCACGGCTGAACGGTTCCTCGTTATGCAAAGGATCGGTACACAAAACGATCGTCCTTTGCGCGGACCGCCTCCTTTCCCGATTCGCGTACGCGGAAACACTTACTTGCGGCTCGTAACATGTTCGGCGGTTTCTCGCATGGATCACGGATGCCACCTACGATCCCGCCGATGTCCTCGGTCCACCCGCGAGCAAGATTATCTCACTGTTCGCACAAGCTTCGATTGTTTAGCGCGACGGACCGGTTCAATTGGCCAAGGTGATCCGGTGAGGATGAACGTCACTGTCGCGCCGATTTCGCTTCCCGGATTCGGTTCGGCCGGTTCTTTCGGAGCTGCACGTGGGCCTAACTGGCGCCGAAACGAGCCGCTGCACGGCCCAGCCGTGGGTCCCGCGGCATGACAGAAACCGTGGATCAGCGGACGACGAGAGAAAACGTGGAAAGGTTCAGGCCGCGACAGCACCGGCCGCGGGACGTGTTGCGAGCAGGATGTCGGGACGGCGACTGAACGAGAAGAGACCGAGCCGGCTAGCAGTCAGCCAGCCGGGCAAGCAGTCGGCCAAGCAGTCAGCTATCCAGGCTGCCTGATCGACTCGCCGGTGTATACTAATGCTTTTCGACGGGGACGATGATACTTTTCGTTCGGTTATAGCGGTGATCAACGGGCACGCAGGGCTGCCGGGAGACGCGCTCCTGACCTCGGCAACCTTCGGCAACCTACGATCTCGACCCTTTTCTGGCTCCGTGTCCATGCGGTGGTCGCCGCGCCACGAATTCCTCGAGATTTCCAGATGCACGTGCGCACGTTCATGGACTCCAGATGAAAAGCTGCGGAAGAACCGCTGGTATCTCAGAAACGTCTTTCTTCTTAGCCTTTTAACCCTTCCAGTTGTACCGTGGAAAAGGTAATAAGCATCGAAATTACTCCGTTGATGGTATTCAGTTTTTAATGGAATCGTAGGCTTACGGCGGAGGTTGATCTCCCTTTTTCTACGGTTTACACAGCTGTAGAAGAAATCACGGGAATGGAGTTCTACGCGGTTTTAGACAGATGGTTATTAGATTATTTTGCGAGTCGGTGGAACAACAAACGAACGTTGAAACGATTATTATTTGATAATGCGTCAGCGAGTTGCAGATCGGAGAGTTTTGGCGGTCGGTCCACGGCCGCGACGCATCTATTTTTATTGGACTATGGATTATCGATATAGACCCGATTACCTAAATTTTGGAGCCGGACCCGCGGTCGAACATGCACGTCTAAGTTTAGAACTCGTGACCCTCTAAAAATATTCTTATCTGTAGGAACGTCGAGTATCTTTGGAGATGAGACGCGACGAAGAATAAGCAGCTGCGTTTAACCCGGTGCCTGTATTCCGATATCTCCTTTAAAATTCATTCACCGCGGATCCCGGTTGTATATTATGCAAAGACGTAACCTTTATAGTTCACCAGCCACGTACAGAGTACCGGAAGATCTATCTTCTATTCCCGATGGTGCCGAATATTCTCAGCTTCTAATTTCTTAACGAAAAACGACGCAGCTGTATCTTCGGCCAATAAACTTTGTTCAAGATAGCCATTGCTCTAGATTCTGCTTGGATCAATTTCGTTGTATCAAGAGGTAATCGTGAATAAGCTAAGGACATTGTCCTAGAACGGGTTCTCGGTATCATCCTCTCTAAGCAATTGCAACGGATGTCGTTGCGGTTTCGAGAGCTGCTCAAATCCAGCTGATCGTTCGCGATTTCGTTGTCGCATCGGCGCACGTTTCTCTCCAGCGTGTTTGTCGCGTGATATCGGCGCACACGTGTTTACCCGAGCAAAAGCGCGGAGAAGGCGCGAGATGTGTGTACGCGTGTACATCTCGTTAGTGTATTGTGCAAGACGTCGCGTGCAATAAGCGTGCAAGAAAGCACACCTACGGGGCGATCGCGTGCGCTTCGAAGCGCGGCTGGAGCATCGCTGAACGCTGGTCGGGCTGGTAAGAACACCCGAAGCTGACACACTATAGGCTGGCGCGTTCGTAAAGCAGGAACTTCCGTCGAAATAGAAGTGAATTGAACTACCTTTACGCTTCGTGAATTTCATATTATCCCTCGTTCGCCACGCTCGATCCTTGTTCGACCGGAACGATTGGATTAAGACGCGGACCGGCGACGTAGGTGTGTTTCAAAACGCATCGCGTACCGATCCACGGATCGTTGAACCCCGGCCCGAGATTATTCCCGCGGGGAAATAATCAGCCGATCGTGCTGAATCTTTTATGACCGGTGTACCACGGTAATTCGCGATGGAATCGATTAATCTGAACGAACGGACGGACGAGTCAAAGAGCGCGAGGCGGCGCGCTCCTAGCGGATCCGCTTAAATAATTTTATTTTTAGCTGCTCGTCGGAAATCCAGCGGTCGGAAAGACGGGGACGACGGGCCAGCCGATCCCAGGAATCCTACACATGTGATAGCTTCGGTTTGGGACATCTTTGTTACGATTCTACGCGAACGTGTCGGGTTTACGGCTTCCTGAGAAGTTAGCGATCCCTGACAACACGTGGCGGAACAAAGATACCGAGAAGAACCGCCTACACACATGGAAAACTGATTAGAAACAGTCCCTCCTTGTTTGTGCGTTCAGCGTTCAGTATTTGTTAGGTTTAGGGTCGAGCGATAATTATACAACAAAGAATAATTGGTTTTTTCTTAGATTCAAGGAGGATCCTGTTTTATTTGGAGCATGGAAACGGCCGCAATGAGTCGGAGAATGATCGTTTTACAATTCAGCGCGTAAAGGCTGTATCTATTAATTACTTTCAGCTCTAAATACTGATACATATTCGGAAAGGATGTGGCGTAACGTATTTCGAGAAATTCTCGGGGAACGTTTTCGATAAGTATTCGACTGTACCGGTGTCGTATTATCGCAGCTTTATCAGATAAGAGTGTCGACCTTTGCGTGGTGTAGATGTCTTGAATGCAAAGGAGCGAAAAATATGCGAGGAATATTCGAGCATTGGGAATTATTAATTGTTTATCTCATAGTTTCGTCTTGTCTCGTTAGCCGATATATTTATTAGTGCGCGTGTGATTCGCGAGTAATATTTTGCGCGACGTTCGCGCTGCCTGGGCCCGGTGTCCGTTTTTTAATTGAGAAAAACGATGTTAATTGAATTTTTCAGCAACAACGTATCAAATTACGTGGTCTTAATGCTCGCATCGTTCTGCATGAGTGCCTTATGAAATTATTACCGGTAGAGAGACTAATGCGTTGCACAATACGGTGGTTCTTATGCATTATGCAACGGCTGGAAGATTGCGTTTCGCGCGAGAAGAAAATGACCATTTCCTTAATAGGATATCAAAATTGGCGATAAGCACGCCATGTTTTTCATTGCCGCTAGCTCTGTGTCTTTATCATCGAAACGGCGATGATCTAACAGCGTGGCGAGACTGTGCGCGATTCAAATATTGCCGCCGGTCGGACGACAAAATGGCGGGAACCAGCTATGTGACGACAGATCGTTGAACCCATATGCACTACTGCGTTCAACTAATATTTTATTTCTCGTACAATTACTATTTATTTCTCCATGAAACAAGTAAAAAATTATTGTCAACCACTCCGTCGACGGTTCATTTAAAGAATAGGCTCAATGGAAATAGGTAATGCTATTCCCAGGGCTGTCTCAACGAAAGATTTCCCAACGAAACATGAAAATTCCCAGCTAGAGAATTATAAGTTTCCACTACAGTTCACCGCTCCGTCGATTCGAACATGAATTTCAATTTCATCGAATATGTATCGTTAATTCGAAAATAAAGGAAAGATTTATAATTTAAGTAATGTTCCCTAAACAACAGGGCGCTAACTCGCGAATATCTCGTGGCCGTAGAGGGCGCCGGTACTTTCCTAATTCCGCACCTGAGGCGCGACGGTCGACGGTTGCTGATTTGACTAGGCGGTCGGCGGAAGTGACGCGATTCGCTTCGTTACGTTTACATTCTGTTCTCGACGTCGCGTTCATTGTGGGGAGCCATTACCCTCGTCCGCGCTAAGCATCGTGCCATATTCCCATTCGCGCCCTTATACTAACAACATTCTCGTAGTTTTAAGTGAAATATTATGAGAGTGAAGACCGAAATGGACGACGACGAAAAGGGGTGAGTACAGAAATCACGGGCGCACGGCCGCTTTTTCTGCGCGGAGATATTTCGATCGAGACGCGTACACGGCCGTCGGGTTTTATTGCGTGGGATCTCCATTTGCGTATTGCAATCTCCCCGCATCTCTGCGTTTTGCCCGTCGTTGCACGGATAAAACTACCGATAAATCGTCCGTAACAGCGGCGTAGAACGTCATCGGGCACTCGCGTTCGGCCTGTATGATTTTCTCTATACGCGAGGCCAACCTTTCTTCCCCCCCGGGCCAACGAGCGGTTTCGATGTTGTAGTTTTTCACGCGAGGGGGGAAAATAATTCACCGATGCCGGCACTCCGCGCAGTGTTACTCTCTATCACCCGGCTCCTCCGATCCGGCTTATATCGTTCCCGTTTAGGTAAAACCATACGTTTCCCCGTTAAATGGTACGTTAACGTCGGGGAATTCGATTCAACGCCGGATTCTACGCGCATTATTACAGCGTGAAAGTACACCGCTGCATCGCCGCCTCTCTCGTTACATCCTTCAGTTCTAGATTCCCTATTTTTATGCTCTATATCCTGAACAGCGTTTTCGTGCTCTCTTGCCGCTGTGCTTTTTCTTGCACACGTTCGACCAACTGCGAATATAATGCGAGCGGCCTCCTATAGTCTATTCTATGGAAACTTTTATGGGAGTTATTAAATACTCCTGTGAACCATAGATTAGGCTCGTTATTAATTTAGTGTCAGTCGGTTAATTCACGAATTCCGATGGATATTTCGCCGTTCGGTGAATATCGATTTAGTAATTTTTTTTTATTTTTATATATAAATAAAGAACAATGTTTTTAGGAATAGCTGTTTTCTTTGATGTTTAATGTCATGTAAACTCTTACATTTATTGATTTTCGTGCTGTCTTGATATTATTTCTGGTACATGATACTTTTGTAATGAAGTTTTCATTAATTATTCCATTAGGATACTTTTTATAAATTTTCATAATTATCAGCGGTATTATTATTATTACTATTATTATTATTATTATTATTATTGAAGGGACTTATGTAGATTTATATTGAATTTACTTAAATTTTGAGATGCTTGTCTTGAGATTAATACTAATTATGTAATCACATGTCACTTACTTGTGGTAAACGGTATTGTTTCTTCTTTGCTGTTACAGAAAGTTGTTTGTTGGTGGTTTGTCCTGGGAGACAACACAGGAAAATCTTCAACGTTACTTTGGCCGTTATGGCGAAGTAATTGACTGTGTCGTTATGAAAAATAGTGAATCTGGTCGCAGTCGTGGCTTCGGATTTGTAACATTCAGTGATCCGGCCAATGTTCCTTTGGTTCTTCAGAATGGACCGCATCAACTTGATGGGCGCACTGTAAGTATCAACCTTCGAAGGGGAAAAAGGAATTTTTTGAATTAAATGAGATCGATTAACATATTTGTTGGTATTGCAATTGTATTACAGATTGACCCGAAACCGTGTAATCCACGCACTCAACAAAAGCCAAAGCGTAGCGGAGGCTTCCCAAAAGTTTTTCTTGGTGGCTTACCAAGTAACGTGACGGAGACTGATCTGAGATCCTTCTTTACTCGCTTTGGAAAGGTCATGGAAGTTGTCATAATGTATGACCAGGAGAAAAAGAAATCCAGAGGTGAGTACATTGCAACAGTTATCATTATTTATTTATTTATTAGCATTGTTTGATGTAGTTTCCATATTAACCAAATTATATACTTACGTCTGTGAAAAATATGCATACATAGCAATCGCGTGTTTTGTTTCTTAATTATTGTGGAAGCTATGAAAGACAATGCACCATTAATATGGAAAGTAGACTATTCTTGTTATATTATTTATTGCGTGACCAGGATTATAGTCAGAATTCTTGAAATAAATTTTTTTTTTACATATTTAATGTATTTTGATATTATTAAACAAATAAATTTAAAGTAAAAAAT